TAGGATACTGCTCCGGCATTCGTCTGGTTTTGGAGAAATCACAAACAACCTTCCGAACAGATAAGCCGGCCGCTAGGATACTCTTCCCGTCAGAAGCTGAATGCCTACTGAAGTCTGATGCTATCTACTGGCTTGATAGCCAGAGTCGGAAATACCACCACCGTCTGGACTCGAACCTTAACCTCAGAATACTAGTGACATGTTATGCTGATGGTATCCTCGACGTAGTGTTAAGATACCATCTCCTAGCAGTGGTATATTTAGCTTTTGGACGTTAATACACGCGTAATATATGCTGTTACTACATGTTCTATTTTTTTACAATAAGCGAATGTCTTGAGGTCTGCCAATAAAATTTACACACGGAGCTCCGGTACAGCGGGGCGCCGATAAAAGTTATGTTCTACTTTAAAAGTTGCTTCAATATGAAAATAATATTTCTGAAGTCTTTTAATAAAGTTGTTTAGCGATATTGTGATTGCTAATTGCCCAATTGCATATTTCTTGCAATAGTTGTTCACTTTTCAAGTGAGTAAATTTCACTTTTCACGAAACAAGAGAGAAATTTCAATACTAGCATTCAAGGTCTAAGATCTTTCGGACAGAGGTACCGCAGTGACGTCAATTGAAGTCCTGAATCAAATATTTTATTATAGCAAACTTTTACTGGTATTCTACATATATGTGTATTGATGACGCGGATTTGACACAAAACACCTTTGGCTGAGATCTTTTACAAAAAAGTGTTTTAATTCCTCATTTACGTGATACGGAAATGTTTAAATGTTACAGAATTGCATATGAAAATTTTGACGGAAACCCACTGTTTTATTTCATCATCATTCATCAGTTCGTTCCCCAAAATGGATATTCCCGATCGATCTAACTGCACTGAAGACCCAGAAAATTTTAAACGATGTTTTAATTTTTGTGGGTATTTTACATGACGATATATTAGGATATTTTAAAATGTATTTGAAAAATTGCTGGGAATTCTCTCTAGATTTCTTACTCCAATGTAGGAAGGCAGGGGCAGATTTTCCTATTGAAATATAACCTTCAAAATTAGATATTTGAGTAATGCCGGGTATAATAAATTTTGAAAAGGAAAAAGCCCAATTTTTCTTAAAATGATTTTGCTAAAATGAAACATTCCTCGCTTACACATACGTGTATTACGTCCGATTTTAATGAAAACGCCCGGCTTTTTCGATAACGGTTAATGCAAAGATTTTTCGTACCTGTCACCAAACTTCAATATCGAAAAAGTATTTCTATCTCTCTAATCCGAATGTTAGATTTTAAATCAATTCATGTATATTTTTTCAAAATATGTTGTTTTCACGTAAATATTTGATCTTATTGCAATTTTTTACAAATATGTACAATCATTGATGGAAAACTGATTCAATTTTTTTGAAAAACATTTATTTATAATGTTTGACATCATATTGAATTCGATGCCATACGTACTTTCTTCCATGAAAACAACAATTTCCAAAAATCTAAGATTTGTAATTTTTTCGAACCCTTTGTACCATACTATTTACTTTTAAAGTTGTAGAACATTATTTATTGTCATTAACATTTTGTGGTCAGAAATGCTTCAAATAATCTCCTATTTCTGAAAATATTGAAATTTTTTACGTAAAAAATCTCTTTCATCCTAGATAATGCCAGGGCCGGTAATGAATTGACAGACACGGTAGTAGGTAGCGTTCTTAGTTATAGCTTACTTGTTTGGAAACCTGATGCATTACTTTGATCAACTAATTTAATTTTTCCCCTAAGTACACTCAAATATGATACAAGCCCAATTTTTTTTGAAAACTCTTAACTTCGCAAATTGCAAATTCGAATCACCTGCCTTTCTTTTGATTAAGAGATTTTTAATAGATTGCTGAAGAATTAGGATTCAAGTTGCAACATTATTTCACATTTTATTAGCACATTTATTTTAAAAATGTTATTTCAGTCATATTAATTACAATTGTTTCTGCTATTTTTATTACGGTTAAAAAAAAACATCTCAATTAGAATTTGAAAAATAGCTCAACATTTGCATCGGAATATTTACGCCCACTTCCCACGAGACTCGATTTACGGCAGTTGCGCAGAGAAATCTTTCCTCACAGTCAATTTGTCTCTGACCGGCACCTTGACCCCGATATTCCGCACAGTGGGAGACTTTCTTGGAACGCCATGTAGCGGTATGACAGTTTTTCTTGAATTTTTGACCGAGTCTCCTCGGCATTTTCGAAGAGGACAGAAGTGAATAAGACAAGGTATAAAAAGGAACAAAATAATTAATCTGAACTTTAAAAAAATGTATATTATGTGGACATTTTATAGAATGCTCAATCACAATTGTTCCAAAAACAGTTACACATCTTTTCTCAATCTTTCTCACGTTTAAAAGAACATGGCTCTGTTATATTACGAAAGGTTCATTTCGATTAAAATACTCGTATTAGGTGTAAAAATAGATTAAACAATGTAGCATAAAATATGAATTTTACAGTAACGAAAAGTAGATGATAGTGTTGATTGAAACGAATTTCAACGTTTATGCCTTACATCATTTCATTTGTAGTTCATACATTTTTAGAAAAAATATTTATGGGTGCAAAAAATGGAGTGCTTAAAGGCGGAAAACTTTGAAGTACTGTATTGTTACTACGACAAAAAAAATATTGGATGTTCGTTACCCTGAGCTTAAAACAGACAAAAGTTAAAACCATATAAATTTTCAAACGAAAATATTTTTTAAAACTTTACCTTCAGCTCCCGCTTCTCAACACTACGAACTAGGATTAAATCACAATGATTCCCGCGTTAAATCACGTTTTCCGAAAAATATTTTCCAGCCCCCTCAAATTCAAACAGTACTACACCCATTATCCAAATCTTTTATTTTCTGTTTAATAATTAATTTAAAGAATTAAGAAATTTAAGAAATTAATGAATTAAAAATCAAAATTATTTACAATAGGTAATAATGACATACCTGTTATGTAAATCGATGGCATCTTGCCAAAGTATTATGTAATAATTTTTATTCAAAGTCCTGAAAAATTGTAACAATTAACCAGGTAGAAATAAAAGTTTAAAAAATCCTACCTAGTTTGAAGGTTTATATTTACGATTATTGGCCTTAGACCGCATAACAAGTACAAAAGTGTCGATTTATTATGTGCCTTAGAAGGTGTTAGAAAATTGACATAATACTTACGAGTTATTTCAAGCCGATTGTTGAATAGTTTTGGTTGGGATGGCTGAAATATTAATAGTAAATAATGTAGTTTTACGTAACCATAACACACAGTACTGGAAAGTCTGTGCCGTTTCGTAGCGAGAGTTAGAGCTAGAAGTCTTCCTGTTTTCTTGCCGAAGCATTATTGTCTTTTGTTCTGTTAAAATGCTATCTTCTATTTGTTCTTATGTTTCTAATATACTTGTTATACTGGAAACTGAGTTATTTTCTTACGCCGACATTCCTAATTCATTATTCTTTATTAAAATATGCAGCACATCATTATTTTCACAAACTCGCAAAATCACAAAATTTCTGAACTCCTGTATTCTGGATAAGGTTTCCTGTCGGTATCTAGTTTTTGCTAGTACGAGCAAACTACGTAAGACCGTATTCATCTGTGTTATGAAAGGGAATTCTGGTATCCTGTAATTGCATTTTTTGCGCTATGTATATTCTACCGCAGATAGATTGAAAACCGGCTACTATTTAAAGATTGTATAATCGCACAATTGTAATTCTGGATTGTGGAATTGTAATATGCCCCTTTTGTACGCACAACTCTCTGTATTTAGCCTTTTCTATAGATGTCAGTTGTTATGTGTTAATGCAGCAACGGGAAGAAATGTTTTCGAGGCATTTTGTCACTCGACTTGGGAGGGCGCACGCACCTGTTAGCGTATGCAAGACATTTTGGCCAGAAGTTAAATTTAAAGAGTCTGTACGCCGCGGACGAGACCGGTATGTGATGTCTGTGAGCGAGGATTCTCGCCAACCGGATTGCCTCGGACTCGGCCTTGTTTTCTCAATTGCGCAAAAACGTATTCACTTAGTATTCTCGCGGCGTAATTGGAAAGAAGTATGAGAGTACCACGGTGACTGCTTCAAAGCATTGCTGTATACTCGCCGTATACTGTATACAAGTACATGCAGTAAACTTAGATAAATGGGTAACAGCTATTAAAATTACAGTAGACTCCCGATCATCCGGTCTCCGTACTACCCGGCCTACTTTTCTTTTATTGTAATGAATCGAAAAACAAATTACAGTGCCAAGGCATTGGCAGCAGGCGTCTGCTACGGTCCTTATATGGGTCGTATGCAAAATAGAAGTTGCGACAGGGAAAGAGCAGCCTTCTGCTCCTCGTTTACGTATTTATTTTTAGTAATAGTAATAGTGGTTTTATTTTATTTATTTATTTTCGTTGAAAAATGTGTGTGGCGTGCTATGGGGAGAAGTTAAATTGAAGTTACATGTTCATTGTTTCGTTTGTGGGTAGTGAACTACAATATAGAATGCTTAGCAGTGTTACCGATTGTAACTGTACAGTATTCGTAAATTCTTTTTGGGAAACGCTTAAGTTTTTTTTAAAACTGTACTATAGTACTGTATATATTGAGCACGTATTACTGAAGATTTCAAAATGAGTGATAAACGAAAAAACGTAGTGACTATGGGGAAGAAATTTCACGCTATGCAGTGACTAGACTAGGGTGTAACAGAAAAAATATAGCCTTGGTGTTATCAGTGGGGAAAAGTACAGTTGGGGACTGGAAAAAAATCAAGCAGAAATTGAAAAGAGGTATGCCGCAGAAGCTTGTGGAAGTGAAATAAAAGTAAGAAAAAATATGTGAAAGATAAGCATAAAGCAGTCGAGGAACCTTGTGGCACGAACAATTAAGAGGAAGAAGTGTACCTGCAACTGGGCCAATATTGCAGGAAAACCTTTTGGAATTTAAGCGATAAATGGAAAGACAAGATTCAAAGTTTACTGCCAGTGATGGATTGTTAGATGGTTGGAAAAGAGAATTCGGCATTTGCCAGACTAAATATTCAAGCTTGTGTATAGACAACATATTCAAGCTTGTATAAAGAAAGAATTGCCGGGAAGCTGTTATATAACTGCGATGGAACAGGTTTAAATTATAAGTTGCTCTCTACAAAAACACTTGCATCAAAAAAAAAAAAAGAAATTGCTGCACCAGGATACAAGGAATGAGTCATCATTTGGGCTTGCAGCAATGTAACCAGTAATAACAAACTTAGGCTCACATTAATAAGTAATTCTAAGTATCCTAGAGATAAAAAAACGTAGAAAAACACTTGAAAAATTAAAATTTGCCAAGACGCGTAATGTAAATTTTTGACAAACCACCTTGGCATCCGGCCACTGGTAAGCGCACAGATGGGGACATCAAAACCTAACTTTTACCACCTAATGAAACAGCTGTTTGTCAGCATATGGACCAAGAAGTTCTTGAACAGCTAAGGATGAAATATATCTGGCGTCTTCTCCGTTTATTGATATCAGCGATTGAAAATAATGATGATTACGTAACCGCTCTGAAAAAGATTGACATAAATGTAGTATATATCATTGGCTTAGGAGTGGGAGATGATGAGTCGGGTTTTCAGGTCTTGGGAATATTCTGACTGGTAAACAGTTCCTAAATTTTCATAATTTCTACTTTTCTAGTACTGGGTTTAAATTGAAACCTTTTCCTACAATTGAATTGATCGTTTTTAATCCCTTTCTTTTTACGTAATTTAAAAACCGAATAGTTTTATAATAAATTTTCATATAATTAATATTGTTACGAAATACAAGTACTATCATTACAAAATACTTTATTTTCCAACATTTTCCATTTTTTTCAGGGCCTGAAAACTAGACTCAATGTGTTTTCGCTCCTATGCTTATGATATTTTCTCTCTTTCTTTTTTTCTTTAGGGGTAATTGAATAATGCGTACGCAATCTTAGTTCCTTCAAAACCTCTGTGTGAAACACTTAGTAGTACATAATAACCTTTCACTAACTTATACAAGATCCGTTCAATCCTTTCAGCTCCTAATTTGCTGAATCAGAAAATAAAAAAAATTGAAATTAAATTTGAATATAATCTCATATCTAGATGAAAATGCTAAACGTGTTTTATTGCTGAAAAAAGTGCCGAGCTGTGAGAATTTCACCGCAGACGACATTACAGAATGGATGACAAACGAAGTTATTGAAACAACTGTCAACAATGTTATGGAAATCGTGACAACAGGCGAAGTAATGGAAGAAGATGGCCAAATCGCATTCCACATTCGGAAGGGTTCAAGACGATTGAAGCAGCCTCTCAGTCAAAAGAAGGAAGCAATGTCAGCTGATGACTTCTGTTTGTGTATGTGGAGGGGCATTATGTCGCGGAAGAGAGTTAAATGCAGAAGCAGTCGTCAATTAAGGACTTTCTCAAAAACTCAAAACTGAGTGTTACCTTTTCGAATCTGTATAATCATTTCAGTGAAAAATAAAATGAGTTTGAATCAATTTTCTTAAGAATTAGTCCAATGTTTTACGTTAGTATTTATGTAATATAATGGTGAGAATGGGAACTGGTCTACGATTTGATTGGTTGATTAGTGTTTCCGGGTCAAATTCTAAAGTCATTATTCCCGTACACATAGTGCATGTTTTCACCGCAAAAGGTGGTAGTGATCTTCCTGGCGAGATCCAGCACCGACATATGTCGGCTTGAGGGGATTTTTCCAACCAGATGTGTCCCTCCAGATTGACACCGCCGCGGCCGGAACACGCTCTAAGCTCTCGACTGCTCTTCCGACCAGTGAAGTAGTGTTGTGCTTGCGAAGGATAAGGAATGGAAGGGGAAGGAAAGATCGCGCACGGTCCGTGTTCCCTTTTATTAGAGAAATACTCCAGTACTCGTCTAATTATTGGGGAAACCACGGAAAACTACCGATCAGAGCAGTCGGCAACATCGGGTGAATTCCACCTAGTAGCTAATGTGAAAAATATCGCCTTCGTCGGGACTCGAATCCTACAACCTCCCGATCAAGGGCACTGCACTGACATCAGTTGATGTCCTGAGTCACCTTTGCCTGTTTACGATATCTGAACATCCTATTTTTTTTACGTATGGGGTAACCACGTCCCATTCGCAGCAACGTTCACTGCAAGAGGCCAATGCTGGTGAGAGAAAGTGTGAAGGCCGCCACGACCGTGCGGAGATAGCTAACTTCCCATTATGCGCACAAATTGGTTGTTTTTCATGGTCAAGACTGACAGTTTTTTGCTGAGCCCATGGGTCAAGGCAAACAAATTAATCGAGATCATGGAGAGGGAGAACCACACGTGTTACAAATACTGAACACTTTCTACGGCTGTACAGAATTAATGAAAATAGTTCTTGCAGAAAATTTAAGACAATGCTCCCAAAAAATACAATCATACTTATTTAAGACCATGAATTCTACTCACTACGGTTTATGTTCAGATTGGTCTCATCGTAAGCATTTTAAACGGAAACAACGTATTATAAGAGTGATACAAAACTGTACCATTTAAGAAAGTCGCAAACTTATCAAATGGACCCATCAGTTAAACTCAGATTAGTTAACTCAGTATTTACAATTATTATTATATTACTATCTATCTACATTACTTATTCACAATCTGCGCAGAAATTGAAAGAACACTATGAACTCTCCTGCCTGTGACTTAGTTAGATACCTAGAAATTCGCGTAAAGTACAAAAGCAAAGAAACAATTTTATTGTTGACTGACAAATGCAAATATTTGATTATGCTATTTAGCAATCTCTTGTATTGCGCGTATCAACTGAACTGTCATACTCAGTGAGCTACCGTTTACAACGCAGACTAAGATGGTTTTTACTTTTCCATTTACTTAATAGTGGAAAACAAAAATATCCATTTAATATTTTTTAAGACGTAATAATAGCAAACAACTTTGCACAATATTGTTTGTAAACTGAAAATAATAATAACATATTTAGTTAATTTAACAATTTTCAGTAACCTAGGTTTATCTTCATCACTCAAATCACCTTTCAATTCACAAGAGTTCTTCCTTTACTTCCAATTCCACAAGTACACTTCACTATAACGACTGTCCTAAATACTCTAGTCCGTTTACTTTTTCGTAATATTGTCCTCAATCAAATATATCGCCCATATCACGTTGCATTTCATACATTCAAATTCTCCACTGAGTTACACACTCTGACTGAAATAATATTTTAATTATTTTCGTCCTCACTTCAGAAAGTGCATTTTCTCTGTAAATATGGAAGAAATGTAACATCTAACTTCAACATGTCTCCAAGGAACGGTCCACCGCCATTAAATATTTGCTATTAACGTGTTGTGTTACGCAACAGCAATGTTTTTATTATTCTTGGTTTGAAAAAAGTTGTGGACAGTAAGTGAAAACCGTGCTAAGTGCCAAAAATGATATTTCGAGATAATGAAGAAAAACTGTTTCAAAAGCTCACGGAACTTGACTCTCATAGTCTAGTGGCGACAATTTGAACCACTATACATGAGAATTTCAGATAGCCTATCTTACAATGCATTGCTCTTTACACTTACCACGCTTTTCAGCACAAAATGCAAATTTTCACATTTTGTCACTGATCCCGGGTTTTATTTATGCTCTACAATTATGGAACTGGAATCCCTCAATGTATTCACTCCAACAACCTTTGTACTACTGATTTGTAGCGTTTTTTGTGAAGACGCTAAGTATATTTTACTTCTATTTTCTTTATTGCAGTATTACAAGAGAGTATGAGTTGTCCTTGAGCAGTATGTGTGTGTGCATGTGTGTGTGTGTGTGTGTGTGTGTGTGTGTGTGTGCTGCATTTATGAAAACCATTTTGTGTGGGTAAGTTCAGCAGCATGTTTGCTTCTGCAGACCACTAGTGTTTACTAATACTCTTTAGTAAATATCTTCTAGCTAATGTGTCATAGCTGCTGATGCTATCAAACGCTTAAACTCTACCTAATAATAGAAGAAAATTTTTTGTTTAATAATTTTTGGCGTAGTGAGTGTGGAAGCTTGTATTGAAACATAGTTTTTGCTTGGGAGCTATTTTTGAAGATAAAGGTCCATACGAAAGAGCATAGTAGTAACTTACTTTGTCATTATTTTTGATACTTAAGTTCTGCGTCTCATTTCTGAAAGGCAATTCGTCGCTACCAATAATTGTTACGACCCAGATAAAAATAATATAAACGAATAATATCTGATACCTAACTCACTCTCATAATTATAAAAAAGTTACCTTGGTACTTAGTTTTGAAGTAATTGATTTCATAATTATGAACTACAAGAATTGTAGATCTCAATACATTACTTTTAATAATCGCCCAATATGATCCATTTGTAACATTTTTGAAGGAGGACAGAACATCTTTTTTCAGTTTCAAACTCCGACATCAAATGGCACTAGAATGTTTCACATCTTCATTCACGTTCTAAATTCCACAAAATGCACAACAGAATTCTTTTGGGTGCGATAATTAATTTATATGGAATTAAGTGCAGAAATAAAATTCCTCCTGGGTGTTCGCAGTGTGTGCAGTGAGCAATGGATACCTCTCAGGGGATGCAGCGCTCCTGGCGGCAAGTAGCGGCACTAGTGGCGTTTGCCGTCCTGATGCTGGCGCCCGCCGCGCAGGCCAAGAGCAAGAAAGGTCTCTTCGTGCATCGCTTGATTTGTTTTAATTTAATTTAATTATATTTAATTTAACTATATTTAATTTAATTATATTTAATTTAATTATATTTAATAAAATTTAATTCTGTTGACGACGGTTGAAGTGAACATAAGCCATTGGTCCCGTTTCTCTCGCAATACAAATAAGCATAAGACGATTCGGTTACAGTGAACAGTGAATCTCAAATATATTAAACATAGGAACTACGAACTGAATATTAATTACCTTCTGAAAAAAAAAACGTTACCTCAGTCCCACAAACTCCAACACTAGGTACCTAGGGAAAATATCTTCGGCCAAAGGTCCAAGAAATCTTCCTTGAGGCGGAGGTAGCGTGCCCAGAATGATTGATTCAGAGATCAGTTCCATTTAGCCCTTACGCCATTCCGCTAATGAGAGCATCTCGGATGTTATAAGGCGAGTAAAGGGGAGAGGGACGGCATTCCAACAGAACAGGAAGCATTAAAGAATATCACGACTGCATTATGATGCTTGGAGACAGTGTAAAATGCAGAATCAAGTACGGAGAGAGCACCAATTCGAGAATGTTCTAGAGAAATTACGAATGAATAATGTACGAAGCAAACAATTGAAAATTAATTTGTAAATATTTCAAAATTATTTTTTAACGTATTTATGTTTTCTGTTGGTGCTATTAATATATTTTGCTGTACCTCTTTATTAATAAAAAAAATTAATCATTGTAGAGAAATACTATTTATTTTTGACATCATCGAATATAGTGAAACTCTGATATAATGAACCAAAACTGTTAGAGCCCAGAAGTTTACAGGTTGACGACTGCATAATTTATAAATTATATTTAATTAACCTATTACTTAATTTAACGTCGAAAATAGTTAAAAGGTGAGGGGAGAAGTGTAGTTTGCGCAAGTTTTCTCGATTTCAGCGATCTTAACCCTACTTCATAAACAAGTTGGATTGTGAATACAGGTGGAAACGAGCGTTGTTTTAGCAAGAATTGATAAAAAATATTTACTTCCGTGAAATTAAAATAGTTTTAACGGTAAATTAGGAAGAGATTCGAGCAATAAACCAGCATTGGGTCCTTCGTGAAGCACTCGACTTTCTTCCGCGAGAACACTGAGAACGATTCCTTCAATAGACATTTCCCCCATTGAACTCTAGAACACGTGCAGAGATACTGAAGTTACATTTATGTCTAGAAGCCAAACAAGGAACCTTTACAGTAATTGCTGAAAGAATCATGGACACTGGACCAAAAATATTATCGAGATGGGTATCATTTATCCAGAAGCTGAAGTACAATACGTCTCACAGGCAGATTTAGACTTGTAGAATTGTATAGATAGAGGACATCCCCTTGGGCAAATTATATTTTTTGTTCAACCAAATTTTGAAAATTAATTTTCCACTTGTAACAAAGTTATCAGTAAAAAATAATAAAATATCATTAGATCACATTTTTATTTCCTATTATTATTATTATTATTATTATTATTATTATTATTATTATTATTTATTATATTCACTATTACCATTATTACTAATTGTTGATGGTATGATTTATAGTTATTAAATTATATTATAAATATGTAACTATTTTTGTTAATTTAATAATTTGAAGCGCAAATGGGGACCAAACATTTTATTTATATTTATTGCAATTTTGACGGGCTCTCCATCAATTCCCTTCCTTCGGGGTTCTGCGGGTTTCGAAGTGGCATTGGAATGCGTCTGTTAAATCAAGCAGCATTTTTCAACCATTTCACGCATTGTCAGTATTTGCGTGGGTGAGCTGATCATGCTCGTTGTGTCCACAGTGAGCGATTACTTCCTTGTGTGCCGTCGCGGCGATCCAGACTTCGCGGGCTGCGTAAAGCGCTCCATCGAAGATGCCAGACCACGACTCGTTAAAGGTAAGACCACGCACAAGTTAGAGGGATATTTTTGTAAGAAGGATTGTTTTAACAGCTACTGCTGACCATTTCGTGCCCTCCTTCCTGAAGCTTCACGGTCTTTTGGACCTGACATCCTTTCTTGGAGCAGGAGTTAAGTTAATAGTTGTAAATTATATTTTTGTATCTTTCATTCAAACAAATCTTATCTCGCAAAATACATCGAACTTCACTTTCTTCTCTTAAAAACTAGACGCTAGGTAACTAACCAACCCTTTCCTTTCTGCCTCACGTGTTTCAGGCCCACTACAAGAAAACACGTCAAATCATGACAATCCTAACCTCAATATAGGTAATGAGAGCGCGTGCTGTGTTGGCTGTGGCAAGCATACCGGAAGAGCCGACATACTACGATAATGGCTAAAAGTCATTAAAATATGCCATACCTTTGAACAGTCATGAAATACGCAAATATGCCCATTTCATCACTTTTATTATTTCAAGAATAACATTTTTTTAAATTAAATGTCTCAGAACATTCATTTCACCTAATTTGTAATGGGTGAAAAAAGAGAGTTTAATTTAAAAACGATGAAATTAGTTACAAACACTGTAGTGTGCGTATTTATCATAACTTTTCTTGAACAAGGAATTAAGTTAATATTTGTAAATTATATTTTTGCAAAATTCACTCAACCAAGTCTTATTTTGAACATTCAGACCCAATAAAACAATATACGGGCTATTTTAATAATTCTAGCCCTAATAGATGATGAGAGCGCGTGCTATGTTGGCAGGCATGCCGGAAGTGCGACTCCCGTCAATCGACCCCTTGCGCATCGAGCAGCTCGAGATGCAGGAAGGCCAAGGCAACTTCCGGTTCCTCATGCGCCTCAAGAACGTGTCCATCACGGGGCTCAAGGACTTCGTCATGCGTTCCATTAAGTGAGTAGCCGCCGTCACGCGCGCAGGAAAGGGAAGTAATAAAAGCGTTCCTACGTCTCCTCTACCGGTACCTCACCTCATCTCGGAAACGAGAACCGTGATCTTTATTTTTCTCTTCCTTAGTATGATTTCCCTTTGAATGTAATTAATGTAAGCGTCTTATCTTTCTACTTTTTTAGTTATATTTCTCTTTACTCTCGTATATTAATATTGCAGCGGTTACAACAGAACGTTAATTTATTTTCTTAACTAATTTGGGTCATTGGTCATGTGAGTTCGTAAAATGTAACACATTGTAATTACCAGAGGGAACGGCGTATAGTCAAAGACTTTCTATCTTAATTGATGTAGCCTCTCAAATGCATTGGTTTTTGACAGGTCATGTTCGGACGCAATCCCAGATACCTGATTAACTTGCCTAACAATAAGTGATAGTCCTGCATGATAGATTGCCCAACAAACGGAGCGAAATGTCCCGTGTGTAACTTTATTACACACTTTATTACATTGTTAATGTGTTAATGTTTCGTACATGGCACTGTATGTTCTTCGGCAAAAGGGGTCATTTTTAACCCCGTAAATATTCTCGAAGTTCTCGACAGTTATTCTGAGATACTGTACAAAACGCCAGTCCAAGAGAATTATTACTTTGACCAACTCATATAAACTATTGTGCATAATTGCTAGAGAAAGTGGTTAAATTTGAAGAGAATTATTAATTCACGGAAATGACTCTATAATTGATAAAGCCCGGTCAAAGCCATTAATTAATCTTTTTGACATGCTGATATGGTAATTAAAAATAATGATTGCTGATTATACATAAAAAGCTTATTAATTATGACATAAATCAGTATAACATGTACACCGAAGAGACAAAAAACTGGTACACCTGCCTAATATCGTGTAGGGACCCCGCGAGCAAGCAGAAGTGTCGCACCACGACGTCGCATGAACTCGACTAATCTCTGAAGTAGTGTTGGAGTTAGTGAATCCTGCAGAGCTTCCCATAAACTCGTACGAGTACGAGGGGATGTAGATCTCTTCTGAACAGATGTTGCAAGGCACCCAAGACATGCTTTAAAATGTTGATGTTTGAGGATTGTGGTGGACAGTGTAAGTGTTTAAATTCAGAAGAGTGTTTCTCAAGCCACTCTGTAGCAATTCTAGATGTGTGGACTGTCGCAGTGTCCTGTTGTAATTGCCCATTTCCGTCGGGAAGCATAATGGACATGAGTGGGTGCAGGTGATCAGACAAGATGCTTACGTACGTGTCACCTGTCAAGAGTCGTATCTAGACGAATCAGGGGTCCCATGTCACTCCTACTGCACACGCCCCATACCATTATAGAGCGTTCACAAGCTTGAACCATCCCCTATCAACATGCTGGTTTCATGAGGTTGTCGCCATACTCGAAGCCGTCCGTCCGGTCGAAACAATGTGAAGAGAGACTCGTCATCCAGCAACGTGGTTCAGGCGAGGCGTAAAGCTTTGTGTCAATGGGTACACGAGTGGGTCTTTGGCTTCGAAACCCCATATCGATAATGTGTTGTTGAATGTTACGCACGCTGACACTTGTTGATTGCCCATAATTGAAATGTGCTTCAATTTGCGGAAGCTTTGCACTTTTGTCACGTGTAATTATTCTCCTCAGCTGTCGTCGGCCCCGTTCTTGCACGATCTTTTTGCGGCCGCAGCGATGCCGGAGGTTTGATGTTTTACCGGATTTCCGGGTATTCACGGTACACTCGTATATTGGTCGTACGGGAAAATTCATATTTCATCGCAAACCCGGATATACTATGCCCCATCGCTCTTCTGCCAACATTAAACCACGGTCACACTCACTTAAATCGTGAAAACCTGCCATTGTAGCAGCAGTAACCGTTCTAACAACTGTGCCAGGCTCTGGTTGACTTACGTAGTCGTCGATCGGAGCGCCGTATTCTGATTGGTTCCAGATATATTTCAATACGCACGGCTGCACCTGTTTTTTGGCTCTTCAGCGTATAAAACCATCACTCCTTCAGTCGCCTCCAAGACGTAGCGGCCTTGTAAAGCAATACACTGCCAGAGTTCCAGATCGTATCATATATCTGTGACTGAAATTATGGTCTGCAGGTTATTCTGGTTGTAGTCATATTCATAATGTGTAATTTCAGTGACTATGGATAAGGGTTCATTTCACCGCAAGCATTCCTAGGATAATACGCAAAGGATAGAGATCAAATAAACATGATATTTATTCAAGCACAAACACAACGTAAATATTTCCCATTCATTCTTTTCTCACATCTCCTGTCATTTGTTTTCATACAATGGCGTAATTATCTGAAACTCGAAAAATTTTAGCACTTTAAAGTATCGATGGCAAAATGTTTCACTCTAATTTTAAAAGAATAGATAAAGGAATAATTTTCCTCAAAGTAGTTATTAAATTATACATTCGTTTTAAAATATAAAAAAAGGCATGTTTCAGAGATTTGACCGTTGCAGGATTAAAAGCTTAAACTAAACAAACCTAACTCTATAAGTTGAAATACGACAAAATATAAATTTAGAAGCAATTAATATAGATTTTTTAAGCAAATACCATTATTTTTTTAAAGTAATAAGAAACATGAAATATCTAAATTAGAAAGTATATAAATCACCCAGGTTACGTAGATCAAATTACAAATTTTAGCTAGTTGTTGATTATATACCTTATCGTAATATAAATGATTGCTTAATATTATAATACTTCTTCAACCAACAAAAGTGTTTGCAATTCTCACCATTTATTTGCCATGGAAGCTATTCGAACCCGTGTGTGTATGTTCCGCAACCAGCCGACCTATCAGTGTTCTTTACGCCGACTGCTGAAACATAACTTGTCCTTGATAGCTCAGGGAAGTCCGATACACATGCACATTGAACTCGCTGATGGTCTGGTGTCACCGAGCCGCTAAGTGCCACCAATCACGAGCAGATGCCCATGGAGAAAACTGCACCGCAAGAAACAAGTAGTCAAGGATTCACTTGGTAGCAGTAATACAAGGTGCGTTCACAAAGCTTCAAGACTGGTATTAGAAAAAAATAATATGTATGTACATCGAAATAAAAGTCTTCGAAATAGGATCCTTGGGCATCAACACTCATCTGCCAGCGTTTTCCCCATTGTTCATTGCCTCTCAGGAACCCTTCATGCAAAGGCTGTCGAGGAACCTCGCCGAAGCTGCCTGGACCGCTGGAATCCTGCCGAATCGTTTCTCTTTCAGTTCTCTCTTGATTGGGGGCAACAAAAAGAAGTCACTAGGAGCTAGTTCGGGGCTGTAGGATGGCCGCGACAGTGTTGTTACGTTGATCTTGGCCAAAACTTCGCCGCCGGCGAGCGACATCTGAGAGGGCGCGTTGTCCTCGTGAAGAACCTAATCGTCTTTGGTCGCCGGGCTGACCGGGCGGACTCGATCCTCCAAAAGGAGGAGACCTCCAGTGTAAATCCCAATTCATTGGCAAATAATCTCACATGAAAAAGACGGTTAGTGTTTAAATGATCACGCACGTTCTCCTAATTATCATCAGTTGGGGTTATTGAAGGTCTCCCAGCGCGGTCATAGTTTTCAACGTCCTCGCGGCCATCTTTGGATCTCTTGTATGACATGAAAACAATTGAAAGTAACAGAGCTTCTTCTTTACAGGTCTCTTGAATCACATACAAATTCTCTGTAGCGGTTTTAGATCCGTTTTGCACAGCACTTTATCAACTTACGCTGCTCCAAATGACTGCATGCATTTTTGACTCTCAGAGATTTCGACGTGAGTCACAGACACGCACTCATGTCACTAGCGATTCCCGCATCTCGGAGGCAACTGCCGTTGGTGTGGTCGGTTAGCTGACACCCCCTCCCCCTATATCACCCTGCTGGTGGAAACGGTTTGCGCACTCTCCCCTACTCAAGTAAAAAGTCTTGAGACTTTGTGAACGCACCATGAATATCGGAGAGTATCCCATTATAGTCACAACTGCAGTACATACGACGCTTGGCTTCCGTGTGAAAGGCAGCTTTAAAAACTGTTTATTAGTCTGTGACGACTGTAAGATAACTTCTTATCGCTGGCTGAAACATTAATGAGCGGTGATAGCTCATACAAGTCCACGCCGCCAGTCCTTCCTGCTGGCTTCACTCGTAGTCTCGCGTGAAGGAGCAATTGACTGCCGCCGCTCGCGAGCAGACGCGCTGCACGTCTTCGGGAGAGAACTGCACCATGACGACCAAGTAGCCCAGAATGGTGCCGAACAGCCCCACGAAGAAGCGCAGGTCGAGCGGGAACAGCCCGCCGGCGCTGAACTTCACCGGTTGCGCGTCCAGCTGCTGCAGGAAGAGCGCGGCCTCGCGTTCGGCCGCGGGGCGGCCCCTGGTGGCCAGCAGCAGCACGTGGCCCGCGCCGTGGGCCAGCCCCGCCGCGCCCGAGGTCGACCCGGCCGCCCACCTCCGCCGCCCCCACCGCCGCCTTCGTCACAGTCGCCGACGCCACCACCATCGCTTGCGCCGGCTCCAGCGTGTGACGCAGGGCCAGCACGATGGTGTACAGGCGCGACGTTATGAACACTACCAGATACGCGTAGGATAGGAACAGAATGGGCTTGAAGATCTCTTCGATCAGACCGCAAATCTCCTGCAGTTTTAAATGCAGTTTTCGTAGGTCGGTGATTTTTGTTTGTAGGTTGGATTGGTATGTGATGCCGTTTGAGTTACGACACTGTGCGCATAGACGATTAGTGATTTCAGTTCTACGAGTGTTTAATTTCGAACAGTTTTTCTTCGGATTTTCAGTCACAAGTGAGTTATCATTTTGCTGCACAGTTCTCGAAAGTACCAAGATGTCTTCGTTTATTGTTGTAAAGAAATGTTTTACCCAGCAGGCAAGGACGTAAAAGAAATGGATCCAGAAGCACATTATGTAATACAATAAAGACCCATGAAAAGCGTGTACCACATATTCTGGTTTCATGAGGACCAGAACAATAAATTCGCCGATGCAAAAACTTATTAAACCGAACTGCACTGCAAACACCACAGAACGTCCCATAGTGGAAGTTGTGCCTGTACCGCTACCCAGCGAATTCCCTACAAGCGCCAGCAGTCGTAACAGTTCCTGCCATTTCTTGCGAGTCGATTCCAGCGCCGAGTGCGGAATAGCCCACAACGGAATAACAATCCCTAAGAACTGCGAGGCAACAGGCAACGTGAAAGAGAGAATGTCATTACCAAAATGGAGAGTGCTGTTGGTGTTCACGAAAAACATGAGAGCGAACAATATAGGATGGATGCAGATGGCGACTGCCGAGACTACAAGCGCTAGGTGACTCCATTCGAGACGTAGACTGCGTTGAAATACGAATGGGGCCATGCCCAAAGCCCTTGCTATTCGGAGCATCGTCATCACTCCTTGCGACTCTAAATTCGAAGCCATTTTTGATGTTACGATTATTTTGATCCCTTCTTTCAACAATAATCAACTTCAGTTAAGAAGTCTTCTAAAGCTGAGTATTTAAAAAATTCGGATACACATAATTGGTGTAATACCGATGTTTAAAAACGAAAAATAAAGGAAAACTTTGACATTATAGTTAGTAACATTTCACAAACACATTTGCTACATTTAAGAAGGTGTTATTGCTGTCTCTAACTCTCGTAGGCACTGACTGTCTATTACTCAACTTATTTAGTCGTATTTAAAATAAAAGTATGTTCTTCTTGGAGTAACTCCAGCAGTTCTTGCTCAGGTTAACGACAATAAACATACGGTCGTGTGTCGTCGGAGGTAATCTTGGACGTAAGAACGTCTTAGAAGTAAATCAATAGACATTGAAAAATGTGTTGGTCAATTAATCATTATGTCTGAGTGACTAAGAGGTTGGAAATAATTCGAATATTAATAATTCAGACTTCTTTCTTCTGATTAGAAGTAGACATCATAAATGAACACTAGCCAAAATACTTAGCCTTCCTCGTAATATTTTTTAGAAAAAAAAATCTATTCTCTTTATATGTACTTACATATGTAATCCTCTTGTACGTTGCTACATCTTTTAGTGCCTGAAAAGGTATTCCTGCCCCCTGAAACTAATTACTCTAGGTGCAGCCACATATGAAATCGCCAACAAAACATCGATGTTTCTAAACAAACCGAAAACATAGATGTTAATAAAACTCGACCCAAAACAATCGATGTTATGAAACATGGATTGTAAAACTGAATTAGTAACCACTGAAGCTCACGCGGGGGGAGGGGCATTTAATTTGAAAGTGGTGATTTTTACTCGAAGTTCAACGAACGAAACACAGTTAAACTAGTGGTGCTGCCAAATCACATACTTTCTCGCAATGTCTCTAAACGCTCCGTAATAGTATCTTGATTTAAATATTATATTGATTTGATGTGACGTACGCTTTACAAATAGGACAGAGTTGTAAACTTGTTTAAAATTTCAAAATAAGAAAATGACTTACGGATACTTCCAGTTTATTTAGAATCTTAATATATTGTATATGTGAGTTGAATGGATTAAAATGATTTTCAATAAAGTTTCTCAAATTCTCAATAGTTTTCTCCGGTAAGAGAGTTGTGACAAATAATTACACCCGAGCCAGGCTCCAACCAGCAGCACGTCCCTCCGAAAAGCTGAGTCCGAACCCGACATTTAACCATTTCGGCAACCAGGGTTATATAGGGAATTGACACTTCTGCAATAGTCATGAGCGCCAAAACACAACAATTGATATGATGGTTCATACATTTTACAAATCCAATAAGAGATGTGAAAAATTTGTGTAAAAGTTGAAAAATAGAAGGTCACATACAGACACTTAAAGTCACATACAGACAGTTTATTTATCTTGACTAGTATTTGCGATCATCAGTGATTTTATTATAACACAAAACATCGAAGTTAAAAATTTCGATGTTAAATACATCGATGATTTTATAATTGCATCAGAGTTTTATAAGCACCGACATCGTTATATAGGAAAAGGATAGCTCGCGTGTTTATCGCGATTAGTCTAATATAGGGTCTCACTCAAGAGCAGGATTTCCTCAAGGCTTGGCGTGAATTGTCCAAGTTTGAGGAATATAGCAACGTACAATTTGGCGGTTTTTTTGAGGCCTCAGAGGAAGCGAGAGATCGAAAAATTCCGAACTAAATTCAATTCTTTTTGGCATAAGGCCAGATTTATCTATCTCTTGATGAAGTGCGAGTGATACTCAGTCGTTCCTGAGGATTTCATGTCATCAGCCATTTATCGCGAATTTTTAACAGAAACCATCCAAATGCTTAAGAAGGAACGCCATGTCACAACACACCACGAATCCCTTTGTGGAATTCGAACCCACAACTCCGATGGACTCCTAAGAGTCAAAAATGTCCCCAGCTCCTGAAGCAAAGTAATATTAATTTTAACAATGACATTTAATGTATCAATTGGATTGTATAATTGTAAAGAACCTGTAACAAGTATTGTACTTCAGCTTCTGGGTCAATGACTCCCATCTCGATCAGGCTTTCCTCCAGTTTCTGTGATCCTCGATCAAATGCTGAGATGGCCCTGAGTTTTGCTTCTGGACATAAATATAACTTCAAATTAACTTCTCCCCATAGCACGTCACACAATTTTTTTAACTGATTTGACGTAAATAAGTAAATAAATATGCACCTAGAACCAACAGGAAGGAAAATAGCTGAAAAGTAATAAATGAAGATTAGGAGAGCCCCATCATCATATAGCAAAAAATAAAACACACACACAAGAAAACTCTCTGCCCAATATTGCTCTGCTCCTTTCCTTCCGCAGGACCCAACCCCACCTCCCTTGCCACCCACCTTTCGCCCCGTCCTACGAAGCCTTACATGGATTTGCATAATTTTTTATATATACACAGAACGTCAGTGGATGCTTTTAGTGTTTATTGAGTCCTCTTCTTAAGAGTGTGTAAAAATGTTATTGAAGGGGAAAAGAAGATTCAGAAAATAATCATCAGATTAATAATCTTAGATAATTGCCGGGGCGTTATATAAAACACTTTGTCATAAAATAATAACCTGACCACCCATTCCAAATCCGTAATTTAAAACTTTAGCCCGAAAACTATCTTTGAAACTAGGAGAGTTTGTAGAAGGGGAATGCATTGAGCCTGACTGTTGAGTTCAATCTCGTTCTGTAAATCTCACTGGAGATGACGTCCCTCTCTTACAAATGGAAAAGCCATCGGTGTTACTAGATCGAACGTAATGTCCCCAATCACACTTAATCATTTGCACACTGTATCTCGCTATGCTTTCTGATGACAGATGTTGAATGCCTGCAGAATTGACTTGTCGTGCGACTGATGCCTCCTGGATGTGTTTTTTCATGCCGAATGTCGAATGTCTGCAGGGCCGACATGCTGCGGGGCTGGTGGTTCCTAGATGTGTTTTCTGATGCCGAATGTCCAATGTCTGCAGGGCCGACTTGCTGCGGGGCTGGTGTATCCCGGATGTGTTTTCTAATGGCGGATGTTGAATGTCCGCAGGGCCGACTGGGCGCGGGGCTCATGGCTCCTGGATATGTTCACCCCTCACCAGCACTTCGAGGGACAGTACGAGATGGAAGGACGTCTCATGTCATTGCCGATTCAGGGCAGCGGCGACGCAACCATGGACTTCTGTAAGCCCCGTTATTACAGTTTACAAATTTTAAAACAAAGAAACTACAAGAGCACACACTTTTTCGCATTATTTCCATCTTGTGCAATTTTCCAGATTTCTGAGAATTCATCAAAAGTTAGATCTGTGTCATTTGTAAGGGTGTTTTTGATGGATCCACGAACAATTATAGACAAGAAAGTAATTGTTTAAATTTGCCTATATTTGATGCAAAATTACGCGCACACTTTTCATATTTTTGAAAAATTGTAAAGGACTATTTTATGATTTCATTTTGAACAACAGCTTTCTTTAAGTAAATAATTACTATCTTCAATATTCTAATTGTAGGAAGTCGCCGGTCAAATTTTCTTTGCAATTTTCAAAAAGTCAGGTAATTTAATGTTAAATGATATTGTGTTATTCTTTTAAGGGATCATTACGATATCTTAGGACAAAATTTGTTTTAAAAATTGGAAATTTTTTACAGGAAATTTTAAAAAACAGTTGAGGATTTACGTAAAGTATCTACACCTCAAAAAATACCGGACAGACGGGCGGACGGACGAACGGGCGGGCGGGGCGGCGGGCGGGCGGCGGGCGGATGGTCGGACGGACGTCGGACGACGGACGGACGGACGGACGGTCGGACGGACCGGTCGGACGAGACGGTCTCGGACGGACGGTCGGACGACGGTCGGTCGGACGGACGGACGGTCAGACGGACGCTCTGTCGAATAGATAGACCCATGAGTTCCTATGTCATTCTTTTAAATTCTTCTTCTTTTATCCATCGAAAAGATGTGAAAAAACTACTGGTGTAAAACAGCATATATATTTTCGCATTATTTCTAGCTACGCTATATTGTACAAGTACATAAACCAGCAAACGTGTTTCCAACCAGCAATTTTTTTCCATGCAGCGACTATCTCAGAAACATAGCCGGGATAGCATATTTTTACACTATCCCAGGACAAAGTGTAATCAAACAATTTACTGTCATTTTTGAGAAAATTTTGAAAATATTTTTGAGACATCTTATGAAGATCACTAAAAAATTGAAGTATCCGTTTGAAACCCCGAAGGCCACGAGATCGTTCACTTTGATAGGAGATAACAGCTGAACGGCTTAGGCGATAGCATTGACCACATACGAATTGACAGTTGGACAGACAGATGCTTTGCCGTCAGTCCATTTTTCTGTACCAAGGCCCTACAAAAAAGTGAGTGCTAGAGGAAGAGAGTGTCTGTTTATCTCTCTCTCTCTCCATATACTGTATATATATATGGGGATTTATTCAGTTTTGTTGAACCAGGGCCTAATCATGAGTTTTCTGTTGAAAATTTGCCGTTTCTAGCACATGCTTTCAATATTTTTTCAATACATTCTTTTCTTACATAAGGGCAAGAAAGTAACTGGAATATTAATAGAGAAGATTTGAGGTAACCTTGCTGGAGTAATGTGATTTAGTGTTTGATACTTTGTATTAATTGACTATTTATGTTCTCTTAGTATTAAAACTTGTTTCATCATTTTTTCCTCACAGATGGCGTCACTACAATCGGCGAACTTCAACTCAAGAATGTTACACGAAAAGGGAAACCATATGTTAGCGTAGACTCCTTCAAGTGGAAAATAGATGTGGAAAACGCCAAATCCCATTTTACAAATCTTTTCAACGGTGACAAAACACTGGGTGAGTATTTATAACAAAATAATATCTGACGTTCACGTGAAAGCGAAAGCATGATTTCAAGAATATGTTATTTTTAATTATGTTTTATATATCTAAACCATATACGCAATTTCCTCATACGTAAGAGTAAAATTATAAAATTATAAATAAAAAGCATTAATCATAGAATACATTAGAATATAAAATAATATACAATCAAAATGCAAAGAAAACAAATACAAATACTAAAAAATAACGGTGCTAAACAGCCCACACTTTCTCGCATTATTTGTAACTGCACCGCAATGTTATGGTTCTACATGAACTTACAATTTTCCCCCCGCAACGCCACTTGAACTCACTTCCTTGGAGTTGGCAAGGTATGCGCCTTAGAGCTATACCAAGCAGGCGGGTGTTAACTGGAGTCGATCATCTAATCGTCTCATTCCAAAGTTTCCAAAACGCAATTTTCCAAAACTGAGAGAGATCAACGAAAATGATATCTCCATCATTATTTTAAGTGTGCCTTGTTTTATCCATGCAAAAAGTATAAAAACAAAAAATTGGAGCAATTTTGAGAAAATGTTCTTTTTGTGATTTCCATTAATTTAACCAGAAATTAATTGAAAAGTACTCGATTTTCAAAAAGTAATGTATGGCGTTTTAAATTAATTGATTTTTAGTGATTCCGGGCGCGTCAACTAATAGGGTCATTCGTTCTGTAAGTGTAGTGCTTGTTTTGCTCGGGATGTGGCGGTGGTTTTTCCCCGCTGGAAGGCGAGATCCGGTGCCGACAAATCCTCGGCTAGCGAGGTTTCCCCCAGCCATGTATCTCCCACCAGCGGGGCACCGACCCAGCCGGGACAAGCTGTAAGCTTCCGACCAGTCTCCCGGCATGAGAGGCAGTGTAGTGCCTGCTTGTGTGTGTGAGTGTGTGATGGGTGAGGATAGGACAAGGAAGAGGTAGGAATGAAACGCGCGCAGTCCGTGGCCATTTGTTTGCATTTGTCTGGTGTTGGTTAGAGAAACCACGGAAAACTACTAATCAGAGCAGCTGGCCACTAGACTTCTCCTCCAGTCAGCGACTGAATTCGATCTAGCTAGTATCGAAAATCCTGCCACCGTCGGAACTCGAACCTATGACCTCCCGGTCAGGGGGACTGTTGTGACATCAGTCCAATTAAAGGGCCAACATGGGTTTTGTCCTTGTGAGTTATCGTGCATTTTACATTATCGAATACGTACGTGTATACGTAAAGTTATGAATTGCTGCGGAAAATATACTTCGAGATTTCAACGGAAAAACACGTTTTGGCGTTCCCTTATACCGAACAAGTGTTTTGTTTCAAAAGGTCCGTCCGTATGTCCGCCCGCCTGATGTATGTGAACAACATTAGCACCTAAACCATGCATACAATTTTTTTTCAAACTACATAAACCCCTGTCAATCTTGCCTCACTCTGCGCTCTGCGATTTTGAAAAATATTTATTATTTAGGGGAGAACTTTACATTGTGGCCCTGAGACAGTTTAAAAATTTTCTCAAAAATGACTCCAAATTCTTTCTTTAAATTTCTGGCAAGAGTAGAGTGAAATACACTCTAATGCGGCATAAGCCCGATTTTCACTGTGAACTCAATTTTCACAGTTAACTATGTTATGGTGTGCATTCTGACAAAAGTTATTTACGCAAGGAATACAGAAAGTGAATATTTGGCATAGGAATGATGAATGACGAATGAGCCGACAGTATTTTGCCGAATTCGATATTTTGAAATGAAGACGTCAAAAACCTTGTTCGAAATGCCTAATACACTACTTTTTATCTAAATTAATGGAAACGTAGAAAGGTAATTTTTGTATCAGACTATAAACGTAAGGCGCCCGCCATTCATGTAGCACGAGTATTTTTGCTCTGAACTCAGTTGTATTGGATGACCACTGAGCATGAATTTTTTGCGGTGTGCGAACGAGAAAGTCTATTTTGACCGCAAAGTAACAATTTCAAAACAATAAGTTACTATTTTCCATAGATGAGTGTTGAAATACTGGTTTCCAAGCATTCGTTCGAAAAATAGTACGTTATGAAACGATGATGTAATAATGGGAATTAATACACTAGTGTGATATTGCGATACGAGCGAGACTCGTAAACTTCACACGAGGGTATTAATACATATTACATCAAGTTTCGTACGGTAATTTTTCTACGACTTTTTCTATGTATCTTTTATAAGTTCAACTTTTATATTGAACTGTTTCGTGGCAGTTGACATGCAGGATTCAGCCAAGGCCACCTAGCAGAGAGCTCCTTAACCCTACCCTTCCCTGCTGCAGGAGGCTTTGCTTAGGAGTCCGCCTGCGAGGGAGTATTGCGCTAGTCAAATAGGATCAAAGTGAAATTACGATCATTTATTTTAAATAATATTCCCCAAAAATTCAAATAGTAATAGAAATTGAAACTGACAAGTATAATATATTATTAAATGCAATTGTAATGTACACAATAGAACAAACAATTACCAGATAGATTCTGAAGGATTCTGAATTGTCAACAATTAGGTTGTAAACTTCCCTGTGATTGGTCAAGAAACTGTATGATACTGAAATATGTATCGTAATGAGTATCATTATGAAATGGCTGCAGCCATCAAATGACAGAATTATACAATGGGAGTATAAAATTAGAATCGTATTCTAATTTGATATTTTTGTTGCAGGAGAGACTACAAACAAGTTTCTGAATGAGAACTGGAGGGACGCCTTCGACACTTATAAGCATCTTGCAGAAGAAGCATTTTCTCAGTTCTTTACAGAGCTTCAGAACCGCTTCTACGAACAGTTTTCCATTGACGAGCTGTACCCCGAGTAGAAGAGTACCTCCACGTTGAATGAACCTTGAAATGTCTATGAACAGTATTCTTGGATGCGTCCTATATAATCAAATTTATAGTGTGAAACAAGTGTTTACAGGATTCCAATATAGAATCTGAATTATACAATTCAGACGCGTGGATAAATGTGTGGATGAAATGCAAATTACAGATCAATACTTCCTAGAACTTACTTTTATAATAAAGACTGTAAATTGTTTATTATCCCGTTATTGTTTTATTGAAGAGTTATATGTACCAAAGGTAGTTAACGCAAATATTTCATTTCAGGTGCACCGCACCGAATATGCTTTGAATTCGTCTCCATGTAAACAGAGCTTCCTCTTACTGCGCAATTCCTTTTTACAATTGACGTAATGTGTTAAAAATGTATTCTTTATGTCTTGGTGATGTACGAATCAGTTTTTTCTCGTATTTGTTGTACGAGTATCGTCAGAATACAGTATTTTTTCATGTTTCATTGGTCATTGTATTCCTCCATATTGAATACTACTCCAATGATTATTCACGGTTGGCAATACAGGACGTTACAGTGTTTTCTATCAGAAACGTCTGGAATACTGTTGCCTTTAATTAAGGAAAAGGTATATACCAGCAATCGGTTAAAGTGAGCCTTACCTAAATGGACATTTTGTAAACAGAATGTTTTATATGGTATTACAATGGAAATTAAAACTTTCAATAGATGGTATTCACAGATGAGAATTGTATTCATGAAGAGGGGAATTGAAACTAAAAGCAATTGAAATTACATTTGTATTAGCGTAATTTAATTTGCATTTAATACTACTTAATTGATTGCATAATTTAATGATGTAAGGATATTATAACATTCATGTTTCATAATAATTTTAATTCTGTTAACAAATTATATTTTTGTTCAATTCGGTCTACTTTTTTAACTTCTGTTAAAAAGCAAAAGTTGTCATATGTTGTTCTAAGAGATCATTATTAAATTATTTTATTCAATTGCTATATTCAGAATATACTATTATCTAAAATATTTAATTTTACGGAATAGTGACACCACATTTCTGTCTTCTTCCAGGTCTACTTAATAACGTAAACATAATATCAATCATTCATAAGTGACGAATATCAACTGTAAGAAAGAGAATATTAAATATCTACTATTAACCAAGTATATAATATGAAATTTTAAAGAACTTTCCCTAAAAGATGAAAATTATTCAGGTGGACTTGCATCAAACGTGCATCCTAGGATACCTGACTCACAATCCATTAGATCTGAAACATTCCATGTCTAAAGACGGTATGATTCTATGAGCACAACAACAATTCTATGACCGAATCAAGGAGTGCATATCGGCAAGGTGTCATGAGGGAGGCTTATTGGAACCACAGCTCCCAACCAGGCCTAGTCAGAGAGCGTGAGGAGGTGGGCCGAGCATCTCATTAGGAACGTGTGCAAACCTACAGGATGCAAGTACAATGATACAGCAAGCTAGTGCCGCTCCGTGCGCTCTTGCATAATGTTTGTATGATAAAATATTGATGCATTTGTGAGAATTTGTAAAAATGTGTGGGAATAAAGTTTTTGTGGTGATGAAACGTGTACATGAAAGAACCATAGATGTATAAAGCGCGAACATCGCGATATTTCTCACTGAGCGCGTCCTGAAAACCTTTACGTGACTCTTCTATAATATTGGCAGTGATCTGTCTAGAATTATAAGGAAAAATAACTGGAATTAACTCAGCAATACGATCTCGAATGTTCGGTCGTAAATTCCGTATTTACAGTCCTTTCGAGTTTTAACTTCATGCACACATACATAACAAAATTAAGATTCACTGAGGAGACCCTCTGTTTAGCATCCATTGGTATACCTCATGTCTAAATCCAACACAATGAACATAATACACTAGATTATTCAATTTCTCATCAACTTGATAAGTGCCAATGCAGAAAGTAGTAAAATGAAATGTTAACTAATTAGATTTAAGTAGTGAAATCAAAGTGAAAAGTGTTAAATTTTGACAGTGATTAAGTGAACAGTGTTACTTATTTTATGTGTAAAGAGCGACTTTATAAGAAAGTTCCCGAACTGAGTGCTCTGGAATTCTACCATTATGTAACCCACCAACAACCAAAGGCCCTTGTCCTCTACAGGATTGTAACCGGCTTTAATGATATTATTATTATTATATAATAATATTATATTATATATAATAATAATAAGAATAATAAATAATAATAATAATAGTCCCGAATATAATTAAGACTAGTGCAGGTGGTGAGGCGATTTATTGTTTAACAATTGGAATTTCCTCAACAATGCTCTCGAATTTTTTTGTCGTAAAACCCGTAATTAGGATCCTTTTGAGTTCGAACGTCACACATACAATTTTTTTGATTGTTTAGTGATTCTGGACGTGTCAACTGCGAAGGTCATTTATCCCATACATGCAGTGCAAGTTTTCCCTCAGGGGTGGTGGTACACACACACTAGATTTGAGATCTATTAAGGAGTTCCAAAAATGATTAAGACTGGTGCAGGTGACGATTAGATTCATGGTTTTATACCTTAAAATTGAAGTATTTGTAGGGATGGTTGTACCATGCATAACTGTCAGGTTATGAGACATATCTCCTCTTTAATTTGAGGCAACAATATTCCAAAAGTTTCTGATCAAAGGCACTGTATTACTCTTAGCCGTGTAAAATCGTTGGAATGGTACTGAATTTGAAGGTATCAGAGGAAAGCTGCAGAAATACTGCGATGTCATGCAAAAACTTTTACCGACTAAAACTTGATAAACAGGCCAGGAGTAAGGTTTAGCTATGTCGTTCTGTACATCATAAAGATATTTTAATTTTTGGAAGTTCTTTAATTGAGACCCGGGTCCGTTTAAAATATTTTCCGATTTTTTCTTTACATTGATTACTCGTACAGAGGACAGTGCTTTTATAAACAGGTGTAGATTCGATTTACATTAAAACATCTGTATTTTTGAAAGTCGAAAAAGTTCAAATATTTTTCGCATGTGTCCTATAACTTTAATATTAAAGGTAGACATTTCTTTCTCAAAGCAATTTTAGATGTTTAAGAAAATCATGTACGAGTTCGAAAAATGAGAACTTGAGTTCCATTTCTTTCTCAAAGCAATTTTAGATCTTTAAGAAAATCATGTACGAGTTCGAAAAATGAGAACTTGATAAATAAATAGAGATATTGTCAGGTATCAATATTTTAATTCCACTAATGATCATTTCGATCGCGTAGCGATCATCCTCAGAGCTTGCAGCTTCTGAGCCGAAAACAAAGTTCTAACACGCGATCGAAATGATCATTAGTGGAATTAAAATATTGATACCTGACAATATCTCTATTTATTTATCAAAATAAAAAAGGTATCTACTTCACCAACAATCCAATTAATGAGAACTTGAATTCAGTAATTTTGACGAAAATTGTAACACTTATCATTTTCTGAAAATATATGGTACATGGAACATGTGATGTTTGCGTTTAGGGGATGGAACATAAACTAAACATAAAATACTTTTTTAACTTAATAATAGTGTTGTAATCACTATCTATTCACGCGGGAGAACGAAGGACTGCAATATATATACTCTAATTTCCAGAAGAGTGAAGAGTCATCACCATCAGCACGTTTAGTATTTATATTAAACAAGTCATGAATTTCATTGGGCTAAGAGGAAGGAATTTTCAGATAAGATGCTCATTTCACTAGATTACTCTTACATGGGAGTTAAGGGATGCTGGTCATGATGTTCCCTTCCCTCTCCTTTTGCCTCCCTCGCGCGCTGTAGCGGGCAAGATAATAGCAATAAACCTCTCAACATGCTGAAGAAACAGAATGTTTTTCCTTAGGGAATATAACGAAAATAATAATTCATTTTGTAAATACCTGATTAGTTTTGTTTCAACTTTGTTTTGGATCTTCATGAGATATTTCCACATTTTTTTTAAATTTACTTATTTATGGCACATTTATAACATCAAGGTCATCAGACACCTCTGGAATTATATAATACAAACAATAGTTACAATTATAACAAGAACAAAAAATGTTTTTTACATTTTCACAAAATCTAAGGTTTCATCTAACTAAATTTCTAAAACATTATTGGGCTATATAAAGCTGTACAGTTTGGTAGTTGCTAAAAATTTTATTAGTTTGGCATACCGATCTATTTACACATTTTTAATTTCAGTATTGTGTGGATCTCACTGAAACTACAAACGTTAGCAACACAGTAACTTCAATGGAGTTCGACAATGAAGGATTCGAACGAACATCATAATGAAAAAAGTTTGCATGTTTTGTTATCAGTGCGAAGATTTTCATTGTGCTTAGATAACCTAAACAATAATACTAGTGTCATTCCTAACTGTTTTCGTGGGAGAACAATGGAATGCAATGTATGTAGTACAGTCTGCTTTCCCGTGGAGTCAAAAGGTGTCACCATCAGTTCACTTATTATTAGTTATATTTAAATTTTATAACACTAGAGCGGGCAAATTTTTGATATGCCGTTTATTCCCACTAGATTATTTGGCAGTTAAGAGGTGCTGGTCATGCCTCCTTCCTACTCGTTCTTGCTCGCGCGATGGAGAGGGCTAGGTAATAGCGATAAACGTCTAACATCGTGAAATAACAAGAATGTTAATTATGTTTTATTTCCTTAGTAAATACAACGAAAATAATAATTAGTGTGTTTATGAATATTGTTTTTTTTGTATTCACGAGATCTTTCCACAATTTTATTTCAGTATTTTGTGGAAGGCTTATTTCACAGAAATCACAAATACCAGCAAAATTAGTTTTAGAGGAAATTAGTTTCTCAAAATAGACTTCAAATTTTTTGTTCAAATTTAACTACTTTTAATGCTAATTGCATTTCATAATTTGAAATAATTGCCATTTTGTTTTACGTTTTTCATTTTTGAAAAATTACACAAATGTATGCATTTTATGCGTATCTGACGTTGTTAATATTTATATTACGGGCGTTTTTATATTATTGCCTACATGATTAGAAGTAACTCATACATTTTTTTGCAGTTTCTAGCAAATTAAATAATTATTTTTGAAATTGAGCTTAAATCTACTCATTTTTAGAAACGCTCAAACTACATTTTCATACACGCCACGAATATTTCATTTTACGTTTGCATATAGAACTAGGTTTTACTCTTCTTAAAGTCATATTTCAATTCCGCTATTAGGGGACCAAAAAATGATGAAAATGTAAAAACATGTAATATACGTTTCAATAAGTGTCAGCTTGGAATAGAGTGAGCCTAAACCATAACGGTAGCTCACACTAAAGGCATTAGGAAACTAACTACCACGAGAAAGTCTGTGTCATTCGGTGGCTTCTACAGTTCATTCTTCCATGGTGAAAAGTCGGTTACAAATAAATTACCTATCAGATTACGTATCAGGCACGCACCTACAGAATTGTGACACTAAGAGTAGACTCTTATCACTGACATTTGAGATTCATATCTCAAATCTAATAAGTTTGAACAAAAAAATGTAAACTGAAACTCGAACCAACATAATTTGTTACACTTTTCGAAATCATGTGTACAAAAATGGCAAATACCTACTTCGTTTCAATACTATCTAAATTAATGGTTTATATAAATATTTAAAATGAAAACATATGTACCATTTCTAATAAGTATCATAAAACTGAAATGGAGGCAGAAAACGAAAAAGAAATATTTGAATGTTGAAAGACGAGATAACAGAGATCCTTTAACAGGAATTTTTTGAATTCCAGAGCTAAAAAAATATCTAAATCATCTAATAAATATCTGCAAAAAGGCTGTCAGTAAATACAACCACGAAAAATATAATCAATTTATTGAGGTACTAAATACTAAAAGCAATTCTCTTTGGCAATTCACAAAGAAAATTCCAAG